TTTCCCTGGCAGACTGGCCCTGAGGCCCAGCATGGCTTCTTTGCTCTTCCATGAAAGTGGCTACATGAAGAACATAAGGGGCAGGAACATCCAGGTGGTGGTGTGGTGCAAGCCTTTTCATGCCTCAGGATGCAAAGCAACTGTATGCTTTTGTAAAATGTGATCAAGCAAGAAATGAAGGTAGGGCCTGCACTGGAGGTGTCACAGACAACTGATACATTCAGGAGTGTTGTCACATTCTGTATGAAGTTATTATGGATACATCTATACAGTGATCATTTATGGCCAAACTGGTGTTGGAAAGATATTCACAATTTAAGGGGAGGCTGAATAAAAAACATACTTGGGAAAAGGATTTACTACTAAGTATAATATATTGCATCAAATATCAGAAAAAAAACAAAAGATCAATACTTACTTTTTATGTGTAAAGCTTCTCGTCTGGAAATGTATTATGAAGAGCTTTGTGATCTGAATCCTGCTCCACATATTGGAGAAAGACTGCAGCTCTTTGATGATCCCATAAACAAGATAAGTGTAAATTTGAAAGGCTTTGAAGAAATATCAGTACAAAACAAAAATGAAGCCTATCAAATCTTGGAAAGAAGCGCAGCAAAAGGAACTACTGCAGTTGCTTACATGAATGCATATTGATCCTACTCTGTGTTTTCAGGTACCCTCTATATGAAAGAAACCAGAGCAAGATGGACAAGAGCTTGTGAGAACTGTGAAGATAAATTTGGTTGATCTTACAGGAAGTGAAAACACTTTGGTTTGGGAGAGTTGATAAAAAAGCTTGTGAGGCTGGAAATACTAAGTGGTCTGTTCTGACTGGAGAAGGAGTTATATTATTGCTCTTATGAAAGGAGACACAGAATCTTAACTTCAAAAAATCCTTCATGATCCTCTTGAGAACAACAAAGGTCATTGTCTCATGCCACTCGGTGGGTTTTGTTATACCCCAAAAAGTACATGAGTGGCATCTGGGCAGCAGTGCGTGGTGAAAGAGAAGCCACAGCAAATAGCCCAGAGGAACCACAGCAAATGCTTTATGAAGAGCTCTCTGCTCAGATGCTAATGGCGGGGCAATCGCCAAGTTGTCCACTCACAATGACTACTGCTGTAACAGGTGCATGGATGGACCTAAGGACATGGGCTAGAAGTTTGTAACCCTTTAACTCTTAGAAGTGAAGGAGAGAAGACAGAAAGGAAAGATGGAGAGACAGATGAGAAGACAGGACAGATGTATCACCACCTTTCATTTCAGTGAGCTGTCTGACTCTGCCAGCCTCCACCCACGGGTGGTGGGTAAACCAGCACATGGCACTTTCACCCCTTTCATAATGTCCTGTGCCCCAGAGACAGGGGACACCTCGGACGCCACCTCAGTGAGGCAACATACAGTTGAGCTTCTGCACCTGCACAGTTCTGGAAGGTTCTGGTATCCGCAGATGCACAGAGCAGCGGCTAGAAATGTACCAGGGGAGGCAAGTGGCGAGGAGCGGAGGGAAGTGGGATAGCCTGCCATCCCTCCTGCACTCTTCATGCTTGCACAACATAGGACTCCATCCTGAGTAGCTGGAGACACAGTAAATCCACATACCCTTGCAAGTCACCGAACAGTCCCTGACAATCATCAGTAATTGCCAGTTTCTCCCACCTAGATAAATACTGAGGAAACATTGACTACACTGGGATGAGCTCACAGAGCAAGGAGTATAATGAAGCCTGAAGTTAACCAGCAGCAGCCAGGAGCTATTATTAAGGAAGAGACTGAAGCGATTGAGCCTCTAAAAGGAGACTTGGCTGCTGCACAAGAGTAACATGGAGTCTGTATTTTCACTGAAAGTTCATTAAGCCCTTAAAGGAAGAGCTGACAATTTAGGAATAACACATTGCAGAATATATTGGCATAATCAGCATCAGGGAAGAAGAAGGTGAAAACAATCACTGAAATTAATAAAAACAAACCTTAGCAGATCTGAAAATCCAGGAGAAAAAACTGAAAGAAACACAGACAGATCTGCAAGAAACTAAGGTTCCTCTGGCTGAGAAAGAGTATGTGTTTAACTTTTGGAAAAGATCAAATACAACCTTCAGGGCACAGCTAGCCATTTGGTCAGTACTATTAATACAAAAGAGGTACCTGTGCAAAGCTGGATCATAAGAAGGCTGTTGATCAACACAATGCCATTGTCCAAACACATTTGCAGGAGAAATGAATGTTTTGTTCAACAAAACACAAGATTCAGTTAGTGAGAACCGTCTGAAGCAGCAACAGATGTTGAAAGCTTATGCATATTTTATAGGTGGCCTGTCTACCAGTTGTTCAGCAGCTAATGTATTTGCATTACTTGTATCAGTGTCTTTTGCCTCTTTAAAAAAATTGGTGTCCACTGAACTTTCTTTTACATCTGAAAAAATATTACAAAATAAGACTGCCATTTGCTAGTAAAGCTGAGCTGTTGAGCTTGACTGAGGAATATATATGTGGACTAGGAAGAGCATTAAATATCTTGATGCCAGTGATGGAAATTGTACTGGAACTAAACTGTCAGTTTCAGAATAACACAAATTTTCTACTGTGACTAATGAGATGGAGGACTCTAAAAGGAAATTATTATCTGTGTCGCACTCTGAAAAAAAATACAAGAAGAAACAGACAGTGGTTTTATTAATCTGCAAAATACTGTGAGAATTTAAGAGAAGTGGAAATGACAAGGCTTGTATATAGAAAGAACACAAATGAATTAGTGTCTTTGTTGCAAAGCCAGCTGGACTTGTTGGCACAGGAGATGCAGAAGAACTTAGCTGGTAAACTGTCAAAAATGGAAGTTTGAAGACCACCATCACTGCTGGGCAAGAAAATGTTTAACTTGAAACTATGGGCCTAGACAGCAGTAAAACTTCTACAAATTTACTGTATCTCTGGATAATTTCCTTCAAGAGCTCAAGAACATAAATGGTGAAAAGAAGCAGCAGCTGGTAGGGTCCATTGTCTGTTCTCAGATACTTCTTAGCAATCTCACAAACATGTCTCGGGATACTGGTAAACAGAGTGACTTTAAAACTGCTCAGACAGTCAGCTTTAGGGATCAGTAGTAGTCCTCTTCCAGCAATGAGACACTGCAGCTTTAGTGTGTACAATATAAAACAATGTTTGTGACAGAGATCAGTGGTTTGTATTGGATATTTTGTTCTGCATTAAGCTGCAGTAGATATGGTTTGGAACTACCACCTTGTACAAATAGATGCTGTAATCGATTTTATTATATGCATATCAATAATACAAATAGTCTTTTGTGTTCAAAGGTCCTTAACATACTGCTGGCACTAAAACAAACTGATGATTTTAAAAGCACTGGAAGTCACCCATGAGAGCTACAAACCAACAGCCTATACTGACAAAAATAGAAAGAGTATGTCATGTTGCTGCCAGCCATGTCCAGGGTCTCCACAGCCATACTCTGCTTTAGAAGCCTGACTGAATGACTGTTAAAAAAAGAATCTTATCAGTTTCACATATGTGCTCACTAGAAGCCAGTCAGGAGATAAGAACTTATTCAAAGAATGGAATTGTCCTATGGCCATTGGAAGCTTGGAGCTAGACAGCAAGCAATTCTGTGTAATGGGGAAACACAATGGATTTATGTGTTGTATACATCTTCAAGAATAATAGTCAGTTGTGGTTTGCAGCATTTACAAAGTGCATGACTGTTAAAGAGACAGGAAAATTATCCTTAAATACAGACTTGTCAGGCTTTTTTATTCTCTCTCTCTAAAAGCTTCTATTTGTACAAATACACTCCCTTAGATATTTTTTATAAGTCTGAGTTTAGATATTGGCATCAGTGTAATTCCTTTATCACTGCAACATACGGCACTCTTCCCTGCTGCCAAAACATGGCCATGTTTCAGCCTCAGGGTACAGCTGGGTTGAGCTTAAAACTGAAACTGTTTTCAAACATAGATACAGAATTTTACGCTACTCCTTCTGACAGCATAAAGGAAAAGTAAATTCAAAATTCCTGTCACCAGAGCTTCTATGAACATTACAGCACCTAGTTGTTCCAGGCACACTAGGAAGGGCTTTTTCATTATAGTTTTTGGGTAACATTTAAAATCACAGAATCACAGAATATTAGGGGCTGGAAGGGACCTCTGAAGATCATTGAGTCCAACCCTCCTGCCAGAGCAGGACAAAACAAACAAAAAAAAACCAAAGCAAAACAAAACACCAAACCAAACAAACCCACAACACAAACAAACAAACACACCAACTAGAGCAGATCACTCAGAAAGGCATCCAGATAGCTATTGAAAGTCTCCAGAGAAAGAAACACCACAACCTCTCCAGGCAGCCTGTTCCAGTGCTCTATGACCCCCACAGTAAAGAAGTCCTTCCTCATGTTAAGGTGGAACTTTCTGTGCTAGAGTTTTAATCCATTGCCCCTTGTCCTATAACAGGGCACAAGTGAAAAGAGGTTGTCCCTGCCTTCTTGATGCCCAGCCCTTATTTATTTATATACATTAATTAGATCCCCCCTCAGTCTTCTCTCTAGACTAAACAGCCCCAGGTCTCTCAGCCTTTCCTCATAAGACAGGTGTTCCAGTCCCTTAATCATCTCTGTAGCCCCCCGTGGACTCTCTCAAGTAGATCCCTGTCCCTCTTGAACTGGGGAGCCCAGAACTGGACACAATACTCCAAGTGAGGTCTCACCAGGGCCGAGCAGAGCAGGAGGAGAACCTCCCTCGATCTGCTGCAGACACTTCTCTTAATGCACCCCAAGATACCATTGGCCTTCTTGGCCACAAGGGCACATTGTTGTCCCATAGAGAACTTGTTGTCTACCAGGACTCCAAGGTCCTTCTCCACGGAGCTGCTCTGTAGCAAATCACCTCCTAGCTTGTATAACCAGTCACCACTGTGCCAGGATATGTATTGCTCAGCTACCCTCCTTTCTCCTTATTGCTGGAGCTGACAAATACCAATTGTATGACAGCACCTGCTTAAAAGAAGCCCCATGGGCAAAAGAAAATTGAAACAGGTGAGGGAGTAACTATTCCTTTCTCAGCAGCAGATATATAAATAGCAGTGTTAGATGTAACATCAGAGTTGTCTAGGTTACTTCCTTGACCTGGTTCTTAAATTTGGAACAGCTTTAGTCAAATGAGGTGACATTCCCTACAGGAGGCAAGAAGCTTCCCAATGGGTAGCAGGGTCAAACCCCCTGCATCAACAACCTCCCTGGGCAACCCATTCCAGTTCCTCACCATCCTTAGAGTGAAGAATTTCCTCCTAATATCTAACCTAAATCTCCCCTCTCTCAGTTTAAAACCATTACCCCTTGTCCTATCACTATCTTCTCTGATGAAAAGCCCCTCCCCAGCTTCCCTGTAGGCCCCCTACAGGAATGTAAATGTTTGGGTTTTTTTGATTCCTGTGTCTCCCTTTTCTAGATCCCCCCAGTCCCAAAGAACAGCAGAGCATGGCTCAGCCTGAGGCTGCTTTAAACAGAAACATTCTCCACTTTTCAGCTGTTGAAATCAAAATAGTCTGGCACGTTAGATGTGGCAATTCACAGCTTTTATTTCTATGAAGTGGGAGGTGTATTTCTAACATCAAGCAATGTATTTTACTGCCAGTACTCTGAAAATGTAGGTGTTCCATTTAGCATGTAGCTGCTGCAAGAGGAGCAGGAAGCTTCAAAGTGCAAGAAGTTCCATGACCAGATGAAAGGGATCACAGTAGAGCTGGCAAAGGAAAAGCAGGGATAGAGCCTTGGGGAAAATTGTCAGGAAGAAGGAAAAAGACTATGCACTTCTGCAGTGCGTTTTTCCATTGTGATAGATGAGCTTGTACATGTAACCCTCTATTAAGCCTGATGCAAGCCGTGGCACCATCACTCTGGTAACAAGAGCACTTGCAGGCCTTTGTTTTCAAAACCAACTACCTAAGGAACCACAGCCTCTTCAGATTACTCCTCCTTCAGCTTTTTCTTACATTAAATTCTTTCCTACAATGGAAAGTAGCATGGAGATAGTGAAGATCTGAAAGAATGGCTGAATGTTTGCTGCACTTTTAATTCTGAGACAATCAGACAAGCAGTCCTTTACCTAATAAGAGTAAGAGGGAGGATGCAGGTGTTAGAAACTGAGGTAGAGCTCGCATAAGCAACTTACTTGGCTTAGTCTATCTGCAAAACCAAGGGACTTAATATCCCTTCCACAATTAAAGACCCTCTCATGAGGAAAGAAGAAGTAGTTATGCAGAGGACCTTACTGCAGGTAAGCTCTGCAGCCTGAAATGGCATCCAAATGACCTGAAGCTGAATATCTATTTCAGCAGAATTTTCACCAGTCTAGAACGTTCATTAAGAACAAAATAACTATGCACATCAGCAATTCCTTTCTTACAGTTTTAAGAAAAAAAATATCTTTAATTCTTTAATCATAAAGCTCTGTAAGTTAGAACATCTCAAGCAGAATACAAAGGGTTAGCAGGTACACATTAGAAACACAGCATGTGACAGAAATATTAACATGTGTAGTGCATTATTCTTAGTCTTCCACAACATGGGACTATCCACTTTCCAGATATGACCTTGAGAACAGTTGATTTCATAAGTGATCACTTTTTTTGCCATGCAACAGCACTTGAAGACACCAGTCATTGTAGGCTGATGCACCTTGCACTTACAGTTTTGGCTTTAGGAAGTTTTAAGTTGTTTCTGCAAATGCTACCAGGCTTACAGCCTCCTCAATGCGTGTTCTAACAGTGCTCTGTGTATTTTAGGGCATTATTGAAGGTCCTGTATGGTTTCACATTTTCAGAGCATGAACTGATAAACCATGGCAGAAAGAACTAGGTAGATTCCCAGATGATGTTCTGTGCATATCAGTGATCAGCTTATTCCAGCACGTCAGTGTCTGAACTGAGACCCCTTAAACAAGGAGTCTCTGAAAAAAAAAAAAATCGGAATAGTCTCCCAAGGAAAGTGGTAGATTCCTCCACATTGGACAGTTTTAAGTCTCAGCTTGACAGGGTGCTGAGCCATCTCATATAAACTAGAATAGTACCTAGAAAGGTTGGACCAGGTGATCCTTGAGGTCCCTTCCAACCTGGCATTTTATGCTCATGCATTTATTAAAAAAAGAAAAATGTATCTTGCTTTCTTACCGGTGTCTACAACAGCCTGAAATGTAAAGTTCATTTTATGAGACTATCCACGCAAAGTGTGCTGCAGCCTGCTAGTGGAGATCACTGGTATGTCACGTTTCAGCACTGGAAGAGAGAGAGAGAGAACAGATTCTGGGATTGACGTTCTTCTGTCTCCCATGTGACAAGGAAGTACCCCTGCTTCTCTGCCCCATGCCCAAAGGCAGAGTATGATACATCCACCAGGGTGTGAAAAGAAGAAAACACTGCATCATTGTAGCAATTAACCATTTACGGAATCACCCACATTTTCCAAACAGGTTAGGGTGTTAAAGAACAACAAATGAATTATCATGTTCCCTCTGATGGAGCTTGCAGTAATATAAACATCTCAGTTCTTGATTGGGTGAGAGGTGAATTTCACTGTGCTGCAAAGAGAGATGCCCTGCAGGGATCCTTTCTATGGTCTTTAATATTAGAGATTTTATAACAGGGAGAAGCTGGCCCATGTCACAAACTATTGAAGAGAGACTGGAATTATTTATGGCAAGAGAAGCTTGGCTGCCATAATTCAGACAGGCATCAACAGACATTTCCTCTGGATTAACTCAGTGTATGGAGTTAAAGTCTCCATCATCCACAGGCTGAGAGTTCTGCTACTTACTATAGATGCAGCAGAGAACATCATCTCAAGGCAGCTGTTAGATACTGAGGCCTGGTCTTAATCCATATTAGAAGATGAGTCATCCTGACAAACTGTTCATCACCTAAAGAAACCTGGAGTATTTTCAGCATTAATTTTCTAGCCCAAAAGTATGTTAATCCCTATAGAGTTCTTGTACTGATGCTCGAGAACACTGTTTTTGCATTATGTATACAGGAAAGTGTGG